CGGGTCGGGCGTGCCTTCCTACACACCCACAGCGTCACTCAGTGGCTTCCCAATTTGTCTCCCTTCTCCTAAACTTTTCTTTCTATGCAGTTCCCTCTAGCAACTCATGAGAGCCCTTAGAGATCTGAAACCTGCTTTATGTTCCTAGGAAGGTGCTGATGTAATAAGTGAGCAACTTAAGAGAAAAAGAAATATTTTGAATTCTAGCTTCACAGTTTTACTAGGATTTTGGTCATGTTTTCAGGTCCTGTGAACTTCAGTTTTCTGACTTATATTTTAGGGAAAACCACCTTCTGTAGTTTGATGAAAATTAGATGATAGTGACAGACCCACGGTAAGTGCTTAGTAAATGCTGTACTTAACCCTGAGCAGTTTAGCATTGAGACCGTGTGCTTCTTGATAATTTTAAACACTTAACCTTTAGAGAAGTCTGGGACTAGTTTTTTTATTGAAGTTAATTCTTGGGCTCTTTTTTACTTGTTTTATTTATGATTATCACTCTGTTCAGATTCTCTTTCTTTTGGGGCCATGTTTGATCATTTGTGTTTTTTACAAAATTATGTATTTTGTTGACATTTTAAAATTTACTAGCATGAGCTGGGGATTTAGCTCAGTGGCATAAGCGCCTGCCTGTCAAGCGCGAGGTCATGAGTTCGATCCCTGGTGCCAAAAAAAAGTAATAATAATAAAATAAAAACAATTTACTAGCATGGAGCTATGTATAAATAGTAATCGCTTACAATAGCTTACTCTCCATTTGTAGTTAAGTCTCTGTCATTTCTCATTTTTTAAGTACCTGTAACTTCTCTTAGGACTTTAACCAAATGTATATTTCTTTTCTTTTCCTTTCTTTCTAGCAGATCTGACTATGGTGGCACATGTCAGTAATCCCAGATATTTAGAAGGCTGAGTCAGGAAACCACGTTTGAGGCCAGCCTGGGCAAGTTTGCAAGACTTTGTCTCCAGATAAAAATTTAAAAGGCTGAGACACAGCTTGATGGTAGAGCACAAGACCCTCTATTGAACCTCAGCATCACCAAAAAATAAAACAGCAGTTTTTTGACTCATAAGTCATGCTTTGAAATTTTGCTAGTTTGTTTCTTATAACTTTTCTATTTTTAAAATCTTTTCATTTAGACACATAGTTAATGTCACTGTTCTTCCTTGGTGATAAACCTCTTTAGTGTAGACATTTTCAGGCTTCCCCAGCCAGCTCTCGGGCAGACTTTGGGTTCGCTTCTCAACCCAGCATCCCTTCGATCATCCAGCTGAGCTCACCATGCTTAGTGAACCAAGCCTCGTTGGAGAGCTGTGTTAGGAGGACTGTTGGTTAGCAGTGCCTGAAACCCAGCTCAAGCTCGATTGTATTTGAGGAAGAGCCGTGTCACTGGCATCTTCTGCATCTGGGGTGTCTGCGTATTTCTGCACAGCCTGATCCAGGAGTGCGCATGGTATTTTTCCTCCTTCTTCTTCTCTTAGGTCCTCTGTTTTCCTTGACCATGTTATTTTCCAGCCACCTCCCCTGAGTGGCAGAGAAAGACGGGTCTTGTATCTGTAGGTGTCACACAGACTTAAGCTCTGCTTCCTCTGCCATTGTTCATCTGTCCCCAAACAAACCCTCCGATCGCTTAGCTTGGCTTCGTGGCTGCTTTGTTGACTACTGCCTGTAGAGAAGAATGTATGGAAAAAAACCAGCTGGTAAAAATGAACAGGATTTACTTATAAGAAGAGCGTGAAGTGAGGTAGCCTAGTGAGAATACAAATAATGATGTCCACAATGTCTGCTGGATGGAGGTGCTGGCCGCAGGGCCCCGCTGTCCACCAAGCATGCACAGAGTCAGATGCTGAGGTCTGATGGAGAGAGTGTAGACCTCAGGCTCTCTGAAGGCATTAGTGTTCACGTTCAGACCCAGTCTATTTATCTAAGTATAGAGCGCCTCACTTGGCCAGGTGTTCCTCATTTAGCACAGTGTGATCCCGGTCCATGTGTATGGCATATCCAGACGTGTGTATCCTCAGACACACCCAGACTATTCCTTGTGCACTCCCGAATTCAGTACTGTAGCAGGAGACCAGGCTATGCAAACAAGGCTTAGACTGGGTTACTTCTGCTGCATGCATGCCCTGCTGGCCCTGGGTCTGGCCCTGGGATGCAGTGATTTCCAGAAGAGCTCACATACCTCTCTCTTCCTCCGTCTGTGGGGTTTCTCAAAGACCCCAAAAGGAAACATACTTCTTTTGGTCACATTCTGTGAATTTTAATGTGTAATGCTCTTCTCTCTTTTATTTTCCAAATATTCTTATTGTACTTTGGATTCCCTCATTGATAAAATAATCGTTCAAGAAAACATGTATTTAATTTCTTCAGCATCAGTTAGTTTTGGGTTTGAGATCCAAATGATTGCTTCCCTCACAAGGTTTCCAGTCAGTAGAGTGTTGGCTAAAGAACCAGGGATGAATACCTTCCTGCCAGCTTGCACCACCCATGATACATGTGTGCTGTCCCCGTGGGTGGCATGGGACAGCCATGCTCATACGAGCCTGTCGTGAATGTGTTAAAATTTTATCTTTGAATGGGCTTCTTAGTATATTGAGAATAAAACTTGATTGTGAGGTCCAAATGAGGGTTTCTGCTTCCTCTCCCTTGAGGGACAGTAACTAGCCCCAGTGAGGAAGTTTGTTAATTTACACTCCGGAGGCAGACGGGGTGGAAAGAGACTGACTGGGCTTCTAGAAGGCCCTTGTTGGCCTGTTGAATATGCATGACGAGAAGCTAAGGGTTACAGTGCTCAAGCTCTTACCTGAGAGTGGCTGGTCCTAAAGAGAAGGGACAGCCTGCTTCGGGTTTGTACTGTTCAGCAAACGACTCCCGTGGACTTGGGGCTCTCGCTGATTGAATTAGGTGTTTCTCCCCCTAGGGAGTAGTGCCGTAGGACATTCTTGAGCCCAGGAAGAAAAAGGCACTTCAGTTCTTTCAAGTTCATGGCACTGTGGTCCCAAAGGTCCTGCTCAGTTTAAGTGGGGTTTGTGTTCTGTAAGGCTGAGGTACTGCTGATTTTTGTTAGTGTCCCACGAATGCTGGAGCACAAAGACGCTCTCCTTTGCCAAGTCTTTGCATACCTCGGGAAGGACATTGTTCTAGCAGTCTGTGGTCTCAGTATCTAGATGTGTTTGCTGAAGAGCAATTGCACCTCATTCTCTGTCTGGCATGCAGCATTTCCAGCTTTCTGGGTGACCGCCTGGTTTCCCTCAGCCTCTGCTGGAAGCTGTGTCACCTTCAGACTTTTTTATGGCGGTGTCCCTGCCCTTGGAGAGGCGCTTATGGTTTCTGCTTAAGGGACTCAGGTGTGCTGCCCCTCACCCTGTTAGGGGCCAGGCCTGGCATTAACTGTGTTCCCCAGAAGCCTCTGATAGTTGCTTTCACGAGGTCCAGTGTATGTTATAGTTGGTCCTGGATACCTCAGGGGGTTGATTCCAGGACCCCCTCACAGATACCAAAGCCTAGTGGTACTCAAGTCTCATAAAATGTTGTTGTATTTGCATATAACTGCTTCCTCCTAAATCATCTCTAGATTACTTATAAAAACCTACTACTATGCTGTGGTAATTGTTGTCATACTGTATTCCTTGAGGAATGATGACAGGAAACAAAGTCTGTACACACTCAATGAAGGTGCAGTGTTTTTTTTAAAGTATTTTTGATCCATGGCTGGTTGAATCTTGGTGAGCATCTGGAGAGCTGGTTACTGGCCACATGGGTTTCCATATTTATGTTCCCTTGCTGACCACTGACCAGATCAAAGGAGGGCTCAGAGAATATAGATCACGCTTGCATCACTCTGCCAGCTCCAGCTCACTCTCCTGTTCCTTGTGGAAAGGAAACTGGCCTCTGGCCTCCTGGGGCATCAACATTTCTCCCACTTCTTTGGGCTGTGGGGAGGAGGGAGTATTGGTGGTGTGCTCAGCATGAGGAAGTTTGGAGAAGTTGCTTTATCTTTACAAGAAAGCACAGTAACATTTAAAGTTCCATTTTGCAGTGCCTGGTATAGGCAGTGTGTGAAGCAGAGACTCCTCAATGTTTGTGAGGTGTTGGTAGCAGCACCCACAGTTTTTGTTGGCACATAGAAGGTGACAGGTAGGGCTGGGGATTTAGTCAGCGCACAAGCTCCTTCCTGGCAAGCACAAGGTCATGAGTTCCATCCCGGTACCAGAAAGAAAGAAAGAGGCAGGATATTCCTGCAGAGCAGGTCTTGGTCTGCAGGTCACTGCCACCTGCCGAGCTGCCCACCCTGCCCTCCCTCCCTGGGAGCAGTTTTCCCCTCTCCTTGTTCTCTCATCTTTATCTTCACCCTGAATTCTTCATCCTTCTCATTGTACTGTAATGTTTTGGATAGATGTTTAGCTAATGATTTGACCATCATACTTATACATTTATGTAAGAATTATATGTGTTTTTTAGTGAACTGTATTTTTTATTTATAGTTTCATTTCAAAAGGCAATTTGAATGTGTATATTCGTATTTAGAACAATCAAATGATCCTACATCAATGTACATTTTTTAATTGGCAAGTAAAATATTTTTGTTTATAGTATACAACATGAGTTTTTGATTTATAAATCCATCATGGAATAGCTATATCAAGATATGTGCCACATGCATTACCTCATATACTTACTTTTGTGGTAACATTTAAAATCTACTCTAAGCCATTTTCAAGTGTACAGTCTTCTGTAGCCACATGAAGTGCAGTAGATGTCTTGAACTTACAGCTGCAGTCTGAAATTTTGTGTCTTTTGACCAGTATTGCTCAAATAACTCCACCCTCCAGCCCTGGTTACCCACTCTTTTTTGCTTCATTTTTATGGCTTTAACTCTTAGATTTCACATGGAAAGGAGATCACGAGGTATTTGTTTTTCTGTGCCTGCTAATCTCTGACTTCAGTATTTTATATATTGCAACACAGTGCATGTGAGGACAATTTGAAAACATTCTTTCTTCTACTTACCTGGCAGGGGAGATACCATGATTATGAAGGTGGTTTTCCTGGGGCGAGGCTTATCCAGTTGCACTCTAGATGTGCTGATCCCTGTGATTTCCCCAGACGTGGCAAACTGGACTGCATCATTTGTGTTAGTGGGGGACTGTGTTTGTGCTTTCCCTTGGGGGAGGAAGCATTCTTTCTGGAAGCAGGAGAGGTAGAGGTATTACAGAAAGCTGAGTTAGTACAAATATCATAGGCAAACAGACGGCTAGACCCTCAAAAGAGTCAGTGCAGAGTATGGGAACACATTATGACTCTGGCTGGAGGCCATCCCTTGAAGGCCAAGCCTCAAGATAAAGACGAAATGACCAGGCCTACCTGTTTCCCGAAGGGATAAGCAATAAACTGTAATTGGTATCAGCTGCTCCTAAAACGTCTGTATAGACATAAGTCACCCAGATTGGCGACTAGGACCTCCTGACTTGTCTTTTCCAAAGAAAAGTCCTTGTTCTTTCCATGTACACTTCCTATGTGACCTGCTTCCCCATTGGATCAGTTTACCTAAGCGGCTGTACTTGTAATCTTATTGGTTGATCATAGTTTTGTTCCATGTTGTACCCACCTCATGAAATCTAAACGTTGATGTCCCTTAGAACCTCAGCTGCATGTATCATTAGTGAGTTTTATTTTGATAAATCCTGGGTTCTATTTGCTAAAACTCTTTGAGGCACAAAGCACTTAAATTCTCCTGACTGTTTTGTGTCACCGTGTAATTCTTCTGGGTTGCCCCATTTCTTGATCCTTACCCTTATTCTTTATTTCTCCAAAATTTATTCTCATTTTTAGACCAGTTAGAACTGTCACTCATATGTGTTTTCTGGTTAAAGTATTAGAAACAGTAGAGACTCTGTGGAGCCTGAAATCTAGGAAAGCCTCTTTTTTTTTGTTTTTTGTTTTTTGTTTTTTATCTGTACGGGGGATCGAACTCATGACCTGCCTACTTGCAAGGCAGGTACTTGTGCTGCTGAGCTAAATTCCCAGCCCCAAAAAAGCCTCTTTCCAGAACACTTGCCACTACTTTCATGAAAAAGATTTACCCAAGTTATGAAGATACACGTAATGAAAGAACTTCAGACTTCTTAAGATTTTGAGCATTGTTTGGTTTTACATTTAAATATTTGATTTGGAAGAGTATGATTTCTAAGTATTTCTACAAATACTTGACTAACATGGGTGGAGGGTTGGCAAATTTAGATACACTAATCTTAAAATTACTTAATAGCATTATTATGCCTGGTATAAGAGTTTTATTAACTTTTTTTTTCTTAACGAGAAAAGCCAATGTGTCTTTAGGGCAAAATAGATTCTGTCTGTGATATAATCACAACTCAGAGACATACTAAAAGGCAATGCAAACTAGAGGAATTGTTGAAGAATAAAATTCTTCCTTCCCAAGCAAATGGACTGAGCAATCTGTTGTACATCCTCCTTGTACTTAAACCCACCAGGCCCACCCCAAATGCAAATGGATATTAAGGTTCGTTTCTCAGCAGGTGCCCCAGTAGGTGGGGAAGGACCAGTGAAGACCCTCAGCCTGCTGGGGTCTCAGTGTGGAGACCCTGCTTAGGGTTCAGAGTGAAGTAGCCATCAGAACTATAACCCGGGGAGCACGCGCCTCGTTTCTTGCTTTGCACCTCAGTTTGTGATTGTTCCAGCCTTTCCTCTGGGCCTTGTCTCCTGCCTGGGCCACTGCCTGGGACTCAGTATCGGGCCCTCCTGTTTCTGCTTTTCTCCTTCTCAATCTGTTCCCTACTCCAAGCAGGACAGTCTTTTTAGAGGATAAACCAGAGTATCCAGTTTTCTCCTTCCCCAGTCCTGCTTCTTTGTAGTTCAATGTAAGACTGAAGCTTCCTCTGTGCCCACCACGTCCGGGCCCTCCGGGCTCCGCCAGTGCCACGCTCTGGCCCGTTCCAGCCTCACTGACTTCCTTGCCCTTCCTCCTGTCTGCCAATCGCCTCCCCTGCGCCTGCTGTGTCTTTACCTGGAACACTCTGCTACCCTGTTTGGTTCCCCCTTTTGTAATCAGACCTCAACGCAAGTCTGTCCTCCTGCTTGAGTAAGTCCTCGTCCAAAATCTGCAGCCAGTGTCTGGTTTGTAAGTTTTCTAAACCATTGTGGATGTGTTCTGTTGTAAACCTACAACAAAGATAGCTAGGCGGGATCAAATTGGCGCGAAGGTTCTCAGCATTCACACTTGGTCTGGTTGGTACTTGTCTCATGACGAGCTGCCTGGTAGCTGAGTTCAGGAGCCAGCACCAGTCCTCGGGTGGTGATTGGCGTAGAATCACTGCTCTGCGCATTACCTTGCTCCGAGGCCTCAGAACTCGCCCCTCTCTGCAACCTCTGTCTCGTTTTCTTGTCCCCCTAGTAAAATGTGAGCTCCTTTAGAGTGGGGATTTTGTCCTGGGCTCATCCCTCGTCCCTCCACCGGCCACGATCAGTGCTAATCCATGCTAACTTCTTGGTAAAGCCGTGTGGATACTCCAGCTCCCTGATGTTCTTGCTCTGTCCAGTCTGCGGTTGCCCTGCCTTTACGCTTGGGTCTGAGCTCTGTCCATGTCCAGTGCTGCTCACTGCCGTCACACCTAGTGCCAGGCAGTTCCAGCCTCAGTGATGCTCTGCATGACCTTGACCAGTTGGCTGCGCACCTGTGCTTCCTTCTTTCTCTCTGGGAAGTAGGAGTGGCTAAAAGTGGGGTCATAAACTTCCTCCCTAAGTGAGGGTGTGCTCTTGGACACGCATTTTATAAGCTCCAGATTGCTGCTGCTCTGTGGCTTCTCAGATGTGCGTCGATTTTGTAACTAAAAGCAAAAGCCAGTTTCTTCCCTCTGCTCTTTTTAGTGAGGTGAACTGAGATTGCCATACTTTTTCTATCCAGGGCCCTACAGTAAATGTTTTAGACAGTGCAGTCCATGTAGTAGGTCTCTGTTGGCTTCCCTACCCCGTGCCCCAAACTCTTCCAGCTCCTTAAAAATAAAAACCATTCTTAGCTTGAGGATCTTAAGAATCCCAGTCAGTTTGAGGTCTGTTGATCCCTAATGGTGGACAGTTAGGAAATGTGTTTCTGAGAGACTCTATAAACTTTATTTTTAGCAAGAAGTCTGACCCTTCCCAGGCTTATTTCTCTTGAATTAGTCCTTGCAGAAATGTTGCTAATCAGTATATTCATGGGTCACATTCTTTCTCCTGCCAAGTACATTGTAAACGTGAGTGAGTTTTGAAACAGCTTCTCTCTGCACAAAATTATGGTTCTCCAGAGCTGGGTTAGTGGCTTGTGGGGGAAACCCAAAGCATATTTGTCTACTTCAAAGACTACCTTGAGACTGGATGGACCTGAAGAGCTTTGTGGTCCACCTGAAGTGGACTCGATAATAATGCATCTTTGTCTGCTGTCTAAAGTATATTATGTTTGTAATTATTTCTTGAAGTTCCCCATAATGATTTATTTGTCCTTTTGTAGACATCCAGTGAACCTTTTATTGCAGCTAATATAGTTAGCTTTGTTTCATCTTTTACCAGCAACCACACCTGAGGTCAAGTTTTTACTCATAATTAGGTACGATGAATCTCATGGACAAGCAGCCCCTTTCCGGCCAACATCTGACCTCTTGCAGCCCATCTCTTGCCCTTCATATAAACCATTGTTTTCGATATTCATAATGTCACTCATTTCTTTTTTCTGTAATATTGTTTATCTGGAAATTTTAAGTCACATGGAGTTGATGTGGGGTAGATCTTCTTAAGTAAAAAGAGTTCTCAGTGAAATTCCACCCAGGTATCTCTAATTTTATCTCAGTTACTCTGCCTCTTGTTGAGTAAGAAGCCTGGAACCCTGGTGTGGTTTAATATAGATTATTAACAGCCAGCGACCCAGGCTGCAGTGTCCTGTGCTGGTTGGTAGCCAGGCCTGCCCTCCTCAGCTGTAAGACTTAGAGCAACTTTTTATACATTTGAATCCAAAATTATCTGTAAAGTTGAAATAACCTTCTCCAGGGGATGAATGTGGGATTTCAATGAATTAATACTTGGCTCTGCGAACATTAGTTAATGCCATGTAAGGGTTAGTTGTTATGGAGGGAAGAAAATGTGCACTTTTTTTTTGTTTGTTTGTTTGCTTGCAGGGCAAGCGCTTATGCCGCTGAGCTAAATCCCCAGCCCCTGTTTTGTTTTTTTGTACCAGGAACTGAACTCACAACCTTGTACTTGCTAGGCAGGCACTGTACCACTGAGCTATGTCCCCAGCTAAAAAATGTGCTCTTGATACTGTACTGATGGGTAGCATTCCACATGGGAAAATGTATATTTGACTTGCTTTGTCCATCTTGATTTTTTTCTACAGGCTTTTGTGGAGGCCCAGAACAAGATTACTGTGCCATTTCTTGAGCAGTGCCCCATCAGAGGCTTATACAAGGAGAGGATGACCGAACTGTACGACTATCCCAAGTACAGTTGCCACTTCAAGAAAGGACAGCGGTATGTGGCACTGCTTTCCTGTAATCTCCTGTTCACTCTCCAGCTGAGCGCTTTCTTAAATTGCAAAACACCAAGTTCTAGATAACTGAGCAGCTTGTGAAATTACTGCACTATAAAAAGAATTCATTTCGGTGTTTAAATACAAGAATGTTGTTGTATGAAGTGTTATCCAAATTCTTAATGGTTAAGGAATTTATTAGAGAGGTGTGCTGTGAAGAAATCTAGATTGCAGGAGGCCATCGTTGTCCTATGGCAAGCTGTTGGGAAGAGGATGATTCGTAAGCAGCAGTGGAGATTTGTTTGAGTCTAATATTATCTTTGGCTTCTACTACTTGCAAACATTGGATTATATATATATTTTTTTCATCCAAGAATGATGACATGGGCCAGAACGTAAGAGACTGGAATTCAGCCCTTTTGTTCCTGTCTCTTTAACACCCACTTAAGCATATTTTCCTGTTCTTTTTATAAATCTCTTTAGAACCACCAGCACAAACTTACTTTAGAATTTCTTAGGCTCTTGTCATATCCCCCCCCACTACCCCCTTGCACAGAGTAAGGCAGTTGAGTCTGTGTGCCACCCCCGCCTGCCACCTGTTTGTGAATAAAGTCTCACTAGAACACAGCCATGCTCACTGGTGTATGTAG